TTCAAATATTTATCATCTAAATTAATAACGATCTCTCTCTCTAAATATCCGCCATACCCCATCCTTAACCACACTTAAAACTCTCCTTTTCTAATCAATCAGACTAATTATGCGATAAGGATTAATTTCTTTTCTCTTGTTCTTTTTTACTTTCACTTACCTACATCTAAAATAGTAAGGATAAGTATTGCGATCGTGAAAATTTTGGGATTCGAGTTTTCAACGAAATTACACGTTTTGATGTCTCCTGAGTCAAAATAACCAAGTCTCGCAAAATGGTTTGTGGGTGTGTGAACCATCTAGCTTAAAAACGAAAAGTCGTAAGAAACTGAAACTGCGTGTTTAAGGTTTTTTATAGGCCTAGGATGTTACAGACATTTTTTTCGTTAAAATTGGCTAAACGAAAGTGGCACTTTATATCATGGATTTAACACATTTTTAGGATTTCTCGAAAACGGCTTAAATGGATAATTTTCAATAATTCTTCCTCTAAATTTATATTATTGGAAACAATTTATCATTTAACATTCACTCTAATATAAAAAATAGTTAAATATAAAGTATGAAAGAATTAGATAATCAACTAAAGGAGAAATAAGAGATCGTAACGGAGAATAGCTATAATAGAGATGCCAAAGAAATACGATCGCGCCCGAGCTCACCCGAGCTCTCCCAAAAGATTAGAACATGCTTCCATATGTATTATTAGCTTAATATAATACGGGATCCGACATTATTATAAATGCCGACAGCTTTACCACCGTCTTCTAGCACGAATATCAAGCTAACCGGGCTGCGACGCGCCTAACAATATACTCTCTCCTCCCTCCGCCCCCAATATTTAATCTATCACTAAATCAATAAATTCCAATGATAATTAATAAGACTGATAAATCTAAATCTCGTATTTCCATTAAATATTCTGTCTTAATCGTATTAGTTTTACAATTAATACTAATTAATTAACTAAATAACATTCAAAATGCTAATAACTTTAAAATTGTACACTTAATTAAACTCTGTCAGGCCATATTTTACATACTGGGTTTGCGTTTTTCATTCCCTCCGCTAACTATCTTAATTTGCCTACAATAGGTCAATAACCGTGACAGTGCGTCAATCACGAATGAATCTCCATATATCACGAACAAAAATTTAAAAATCAATAATTTTTAAGTGAAACAGGAATATCATGGATCTGGTCAAAGGCCATTTTGCATTATCACTCTCTGCATAATTTGATGTTTCATCGGTATGCATATCAGTTATGGGTGATTATTTAATAGAAGGCAATTTCACTTCAATTTGAATTATTTTGATTGTATTAGAATATGTGACATCATACAACTTCTATTGACGCTCAAATGGTAATCTAAAGTGGGAAATTTAGAATTACCAAATTAATGTAATGACAACATATTTTTTATTTGATATACCCACTGCTTTGCCATTTCTGATATACGGAGGGAGGGGAGGAAGTCTTTAGGGAATACAAAAAAAACCTATTATAACCAGAGTATGAAGGTCGAGATTCGTTATGCCATGAAATAAATTTCAACCCGGCACACTATCAAGTATTTCACCTGAAAAGTTGGCTAAAGCTCAATGTTTTTTTAGGTCCACCCTTATATGGTAGACCCGTAAATGAGTAGACAGATCTTTAGACTACTGAATCACACTTGAATACATTTTTTATGGAGGTCCATGGATCGCATTGAAAGAAAGTGTTCTGGCAGGAGCGTTTGTGCTGCTTATCATAGAAGCTAGCTGCACTTTATTTAAGTGCTATTATTTATTATTATTTGAGTTCATAATTATTTATTGCTGTTGTCTGATACTTGTCAAGGTATTTACTACGATTTATGGTCAATTTCAAAGATATCAGCGCATTAAAAAGATATTTAAGCTGTCTTTAAATTCACGGCGTGTAAATATTTACATAATACTATATTATAAAAAAGGTGAATTTATGGAGAAAAAAAATTATCAGAAGTAAAAATTATTCTGCCGATGATTACTATTTATTTACTAATGGCAAATAGTAGAAGAAAGAAGTAACTTTATCCATAATAGACTTATTTTCCCTGGAGGTTTGCCGTTATTATGCCTTTTCCGACCACAGTGCGGCGCTAGGCTTGATGTCATAACAGACAATGCTCTAACACGCTGGGCCATCATATTTCATTAAAAATTAAAAGGAACCTTTTGTTATTCCCTCTCTTTTAGAAATATTAGATTAGTCCTAAAATTTGGGATCGACCGATACCGATATTAATATCCACGTATTGGTCGATTATCATTATCGGTATCGGCTTGAATAATGAACCGTTGTACCGATGTTCTCTTTTTCCTTAATATAAAAAAAAACACCTTTATTAGTAAAAAAAATGTTGATAATATTTATGTTTCTTATAACAATGGATTGAGTTAATTCTGAGAATAGCGATTCTTAATTTGAGTCAGATAATTGAGATGGGTGATTTGTTTTTTATAGTTTCACATAATTAATTAAATGAACTTAAAATATATATATATATATATATATATATATATATATATATATAATAGCGACATTTTAAGGCCGGTATATAACTATTCTTAGGTGATTGGCACGTTTATTCAGCGATAAGGAGAATATTCAAAGCGAAACAATACGAACTTCGCCGAAAAAAATATAAAGACCACCAGGACTTTCCCAGTCCTTATAAAAAGACCTAAGGCCGATATTGTTCTTAGGAATTTTAGTATAACCTCATATTTCTATACGGGTCGAACCCTTGACGATTGATTAACACGTTTATAAAGTAATAAAGAGAATATTCCAAGTAAAGATCGATTAAAATAAGGCTAAAAGGCCGATATAAAATTTATATAAAGGTCTATCTCTAGATGATTGATTGATAGCTTATTTGGCAATAAGGCGGATATTCCAAGTGCAAATGTAAAAATTTGAAATATCGGTATTAGCTACAATTTTTAATAAAATACCGTAATAATGTACCGTACAAAAATCGGGAAATAGCAACTCAATGTATTAATATGAACTTGGTTATGTCATTTTCTATTTAACACTGTTCAAACTATTACTAGTAGTATAACAATATTTTTTCTGCTAACTTTCATACAATGCACTGAACTTAATTGATTAATTTAGTTTTATTTTATCCTTTTGTGTAAATTACAACTGCGGACTAGAGCGAAATATTTTCCGTTGTTATCAAGACAGAATGCTGTCAATTTGGCCCGACCAAGACTTTCTTAATTACCCCTATATCCATCTGAACCCCCAGTTTCTGACCTTTCTTTCTCTAAAATGCCTAATTAATTAAAATGCCTAATTAACTAAAAGACGCCCAAGGCGTCTGAAAATAAGATGGCCTCGGGACCTTCCCATATAACGCATTTATTAGAGTGTCAGAACAATAATAATAGTGATAGAAGAGTAGCTTATTCACACTCCACGCACAATAAATGGAAACAAATTAAACAAAACCATAATAACACTAGAAGTAAATGTATATAAATAAAAAGAAACTAAACTAAACAGAAAGGAACAAAACTAATCAAAATAACTACTCAAATACACACATGCTTTTATGACCGGTGGTACAGACACCTTTTTAACGAATTATTTACATACGGTTGAAACTTCGTAAACAGCTTTATCTTATGGTAATAAGATCCTACAAACATTTTATTTACGAAAATTCTCGAAATTGGGACGTTTTCAATCTGGAGGTCTGTAAACTTTGTTAATTAATTAGGTACTAAAAACTTGTAAATATCCATTTGCTTTCCACTTGAATCGTAAGATAACTTGAACACAAAATCGAGAAAAAAGTTGACCTTAAAAAATATTGAGCCGTTTGGCTTGACCTACACTCTAAAATTGTCAAAATAACGAGGTTATATAGGCCAACGACCAATATTTTTGTAGGCACCTTTTTTATTGATTTTGCGATGAAATTATCTTGCGATTCAAGTGGGAAGAAAATGTGTATTTACAATTTTTTAGTACCTAATTATGTAGACAAAGATTGTCGACCTCCAGATTGAGAACACCCCAATTCCGAGAATTTTCGTAAATAAAATATTTGTAGGTTACGATGAGACGAAGCTCTCTCGAAGTTTTACGCGGATGTAATTAGAATAAAACGGTTCTATACCACGGACCATAAGTTTCTTGTAAGTCTAACTCACTACTGATACTAACAAGGAACAACGATACATTGATGGGAGGTGCCCCTAAATCATTATATTGTCTACTCATTACTAGATATAAAAATAGTTGAACTTTCTGTGCTCGAACCACTAGCGAATTCAGGATTTAATTTAAGGGTCTTCAGCCTAAAAAAAAAAAGAAAAAAAAAAGGCTGTACCACTACAACCCATTAAAGTGTCTTGGGTTAATAAAGTACTATTTAGGAAAAGTACTGTTTCTAAGTCAACGGTTGTGAAAGGAGGTGATTTGACCGAGATCACGCTCAACCGCCAGGTATTTTCTCTCTAACCAGTTATTTTAATTAAGATTGGCCACTTTATATAGGCTGGGTATGCTACTGGGGGGATCTACCTATCCAGGATCATCAACTGCTAATGAAACAGAATAAATAATTTTTCTGCCATGAGCCGGGATTCGAACCTGGGACCTTTAGCATTGGAAGCTCAGTATCCTACCTCTGAGCTACCCCACTCCCCTTTTCATATATATAACGATAATTAATTTGATAAAAAATGGAAACAAACTAACTGCCTATATGACGTGGTGTTTAAGTGATTCTTGAAGTACTATTAAATGTATTACACGAACAATTATAATTTAAGAGATAGTTTTTAAAATTTTTTTCTATAAAATGTGGTTATATTTGACCATTTTGGAGAGGACCTCAATCCGAAAGCCTCCTTTCCCCTTAGATCTGTCTGTGACTCGAACTGTACTGAACAATAATACCCTTCTGTGTAATATTCATCCTGAAGGACGAATCCTGTTTCTTTTTCAGAAGGATGGCACCTTACATAGGAGTAGAACCGACTCCAGCCATCAGTGGTGACCTTCCAGAAACACCAAAGAAGACAAGTTACCTACTAGAGCCCAACTGGATCAACATCGTTTTCTTTGTCGTCATCCATTGTCTGGGAGTTTATGGCCTGTTTTTGGCTGTAACTTCTGCGAAATGGCAAACGCTGTTGTGGAGTAAGTATTCTGCATGTTACAAAACATTCTCAAGGTGATTAAAATTATTGCCTTTGAATAAGCCATGATTTTAAATTTTAAAAAATATACTTAATCTGATGGAAAATGGTGATGGAAATCAAATAAATCGGGGCGTGCCTGTAGTTCTCTTATATCAAAACTTTCTTCATGGCTTACACCCTATAGTTCTGGAGATTGCGCAAGGTGGAGCAGATCCTGAATGTAGAACGACATATTCTAAACCAATCTTTTTCTTTTTTTTAATTTACTAAGTTTAGTATGGGTGAAAAATATTCATTATAAAGTTTTTATTGGTGCCAAAGTTTCTACCCAAACATGTGTGTCATCAGCAGGCCGTTTTTCAGTACTCATATAGTCCTCATATATCTTCATACATATATATAGTCCTGAATATTTATCACCCACGATATTTAAAACAGTCGACTAACTTCCTTCAATGATTTATTAAGTTTATGTTGAAGAAAAGTGAATATCAGAGACAAAGGCGGTATTTACAACTATTGTTGCCAAAATCATTCTGCAAGATCAAGACCATGACTGGTAAAAAACATCGATTTTTATTTTCACTTACCTATATATGAAATATATAATAAGGGTAAGTATTGCGATCGTGAAAATTTTCGAATCTGAGATATCGAACGGAAATACATGTTTTGAGGTCTCCTGAGTCCAAATAACCAAGTCCCGCAAAAGGGTCTGTGTGTCTGTGTGTTAGCAGTCTAGCTCAAAAACGAAAAGTCATACAAAACTAATATTACGTTTTTAAGATAGGTATATACCTTAGATGTGGCAGCAAGTTTTCCCGTAAAATCGGCTAATCGGAAGTGCCACTTTATATCAAGTCTGAAACACATTTTTACAATTTTCTTAAATACAGCTCTAACGGTTTTGATTAAACTCGGCGTATCATTGTATAATGAAGGGGTTTTGATTATCAATTAGGTCTTATCCCCATTGATATCACTTTACAGGGCTTAAATGCCCAATGTTCATATAAGCCTTCCTCTAAAGCAGCTTTAATATGGTTTATTTGAAAAAAATTAATCGTCTCAAATTATTCAGAGTTACAAAAAAATGCTAAATATAACTTTTGAAAGAATTTGGTAATTGAATAAAGGAGAAAAAAATGAATCTCCAAAATACCAATCGAAGGTATACGTATAATATACCGTTGGAATGCGAAGAATTTTAGAAAAAAAAATCTAATATAGAATGGTGTAGTAGGTAAAGGAGAGTGGCGAAAACTTTGTAAATAATAATGTCAGAAAACTAACATTATTTAACATAAATCACATATTTCCAAGGAAATGAAATGAAATTTTCTTGCTATATGTAAACTTTTAAATGTTTTTCTAAGATTGAAAAAAAGGATTTAAAATTCACCGAATCAAGCCAATGCCATTATTTAAAATACTATTTCATTGTACTTGTGTGAAAGAAGAAATGAAATATATTTACTATAGAGTATTAAGATATTATGTTTAAATAATTAAGTATCTTTAGGCCGTTTATTCCAAAAAATCATCAAGTAACCTTTTCGAAAGTTAAATGAGTGAATCATTTGATGAATTCTCCCTTTGTGAAAGGACCAACATTATCCACATACAGTTAGTGTGATAACTTTTGACCTATTGGCACGGCAATGAAAATCTCGTAAATTTGTTTGGTAAACTATACAATGGAAAATAACAGGTTAATACTAATAGTCCTACGATCCATAATCATTTATCGGTTAAATATTTAGATACACTTTCAAACCTCTGTAGGCATATATGAGCCTTTTGGTTGACAGAATGACTAACTCCAATTTCAACATTCTCTATTAATAATTTTAGTGATGTTCCTAGTGGCAAAATTTATACCTTAATTCACAGTTCTATATTTCAACACTGCAATCACCTTTTCAAGTAGAAATATCTCTAAAATGACATTCCTAAAAAATTTTGAAATTGGAGTTAGTCATTCTGTCAACTGAAAGGCTCAGAGACTGAAATTGTGTGGTTTATAAAAGTAGATGGAGTGACTAGATTTTTATGCTAATGTGTTTATTGATCAAAATAAAAATAATATTTTTTGGTTGTGTACGGTTCTAATTCCTTTAATACTCCCTCAACGTACCTAGAGGATTTAAAGGTAAATATAAGAAAATAAAAATTCAGGTTTTTGTCCATTGGACGTTGTGCGTCGCGTGGGTTCTAAGTACCTAGAACGAGATGTTTCCGGGCGACCCTTGATCTATTCCAAATCGGTTAGTAGACCCTATGTTAATATCTGAAGAATTCTTTAGAGAATCGAAAAACGTACTGTTTAAGAAATTAAAGAACTTAAATTGTGCGTCAAACGAGTACCAAACTTAATTATGTTGGTTTAGTGACATGTTCATAAACCACGGTCAACGAATGCTGATTTTGCTCATAAACTGTGACAAATTACTATGGCCCAGCAGCTAGGATATGAGTTTCCTAAGAGAAAGCACGCATAGAATAAAAGTTGTAGAGCAACAAATTCTCCGTTCACTGAGTAGTAATAGTTTTAATGTAGGCCACTTATTCCACCCGAAATAGGTAACCTCCCGATGGCTTGAAATTGGCAATGAAGGTATGTGTGATTTTCAACATTTCAACAGTATGGGTGTCTATTCTATTAATTTATTCTTGTTTGGAGTCTGGAATTTATGAATACAATTATATTTTATCATTATAGTTTGGCTACTACACCAGCTGACAACATTAGGGGTGACAGCTGGGGTTCATCGCCTCTGGTCCCACAGATCCTACAAGGCCAGGTGGCCACTGCAAATATTCCTCATGCTCTGCTTCACGCTTGGCCACCAGGTAAACATTCTTTCAGGTACGATATTTTTTACCTGCCCGTTCTTTCAAACAGTATGTACTTTTACAACCTTAGATGCAGAGAATTGCTTTCTCTTGTATAAGGTATGCTTCTTTAGATATTCTTGTTACATTGGAATTTTCGGATTTCAAGAAAATGGGTGAAAGGTTATAAGGAAAACCTTTTAAAGGACGCATTCTTTTTTTATTTATGCTAAGGTTTCAACCCAAACATCTGGGTCATCTTCAGTTTGAGCACTGAGGGTGTAACAGTACTTGAACACCCTCAGTGCTCAAACCACGCCCTGAAGATGACCCACATGTTTGGGTTGAAACGTTGGCATAAATAAAAAATTTAAAAACAAAAGACTGCGTCCTGAATATTTATTACTTATGCTATGTAGAACAGTCGACTAACTCCCTTCAATAATACAAAACATCTTTCACGTATCTAAGTGCCGCATCTAGATGGTTACGTATCTATGGACGTTTAGTCTTGAAATTAGAGAATATAATGACATCCTTACAAGTCTTAAGTCAACTTATGCATATAATGCCTATATGTAAAGACATGGTTTAAAAAAATCCCAATGCTATATTAAAATTAGTATTCTTTTTCATTTTCCTATTGTGAAAATCTGATTTTCCATTAGTTTTATTGCACCTAAGCCTGTTCGTAATAAGTGTAATAATTCCTATGAACCTTACACGTATCAATCGGACTCACGAATTTTAGCTGAGTTGACGTTTGTATAACATAATTAAGATAAAAACGCACAGCGTGTATCTGATGCATTTGTCCATGTATAATGTTATTTTTCATTAAAAAAGCTTATTTGGCCGTTATCCTTTATAGCATTGGACATCAAGAGAAAAATGGAGATGTAATAATTAATTCCTAGTGCCAAGTCAACTGCTTACAAAAATTAAGGAAAAGTGTTGCTAAAATAATAAATTTGTTGAGAAAAATGGAACAAAAACTGAAAAATATACACAACAGTTAAAAGGTTAATTTATTTTATAGGTAAATTGTGAAGTTTTCACTTTTTAAAAAAAATTATTGCCCACTTAACTATTTTTTTTTTAAATAGTTAAAGATGGTTTATAAAAATATGAAATAGAGATATAAGAAACTATTTATGCGTGATAAATATTCAGGTTTTTATTTGTTCCGATGTTTCAACCCAAACATGTGGGTGTTTCGAGCAATGACGGTATTGAAGTATTGAAGTACTCATATAGTCCTCATATATCTTCATATATATATATATATATATATATATATGAATATATATATATATATATATATATATATATATATAAAACTTACGTCGGTTCGAACAAAGAAAGATAAAAAAAAGAAAGAAAGGTTCGTAATAAAACACGTGGCTGCTCAAATAAGACTGACTTTATTCTCTCCGTAATGCTATATATATAGCATTACGGTTTGTTTACAACTGTTGAATAGGATTAAATAATATATCAACTTACATCTAACCATAACTCCCCCCCGCCAGTTTATGAACACTCCTCATAAACTAACGCTGGGTTACTGATATAATACATAACAAAACAAAACAACAAACAAAATAAATTTCCTTGGCGTTCCCATACAGCCATAGTACAGAACAAATAAAATTAAACATTTTCCTGCAAAAAAAAACAAAAAACAAAGAGCTACACTGAAATAAACCTTCTACCGTCCTTCCATAGCTTGTAGGAGACAGAAAAGAGGATATACTACTTATTTACGTTACTAACCCGGCTCTATCGGGAGTTTCAACTGTTCTATGTGAACGGTCCTCCGTTTCCTGGGATCGTTCAGACTCTGAATTGTACAAAGATTGTGTTCGCGAAGTACAATCACTTTGAATGGTCCTTCGTAGCGTGCCAGTTCTTTCCCCCTATTAGAACCCACCCTACGATAGACCGTCGTCCCTATCTTCAATTCCCCCATTCTGTCCTTGAGGCTCAGATTGGCCTTCTCCACCCTTTTCCGTTTTTCTCGCTCTATTTTCGCTCTTGTTTTTTCCCACACCCTCTTTATCTCTGCTCTGTTACAAGTGATCCGTTGAGCTTGTACTTCGTCCGTGAGTGTTTCCATCCAATCCCGTCGCCGTATATTTACTCCAAACAATACCTCGACCGGAGAAAATCCTGTAACGGAGTGGATTGAATGATTATAAGCCGCTACTGCTCTTTTCATGGCTACATCCCCTTCCAATCCCTGCTCCCCTTGATAAATACGTAGGTGGTCGCTTAAAGTGCTGTGCAACCTCTCGATATTTCCTCTGCCCTTTGCATGTCCCGGAGTATTAAAATGCCAATCTATATCCAATCGTTTAACCTCCTCACGTACGGTACTGTTGTCGAACTCCCTCCCTCCGTCCGACGTTATGCGATCAGGCACTCCGTAGAACTGGGCCCACGTTTGTAGAGCCCCCACAACCGCATCCGACAACCTATCTCGTACTTGATGTGTCATTGCTACCTTGCTGAAGAGGTCGATCATTGTAATCCACTTAAACCCCCTCCACGTAAATGTATCAATTTGCACATCTTTCAATGGCATGTCTCCCGTAGGGGTTTCCTCCTGTAATCCTTGAGGTGGCCGTCTATCGTATTTAGTGCGCGCGCACACTTCGCATCTCCCAATGATTTCGGCAATTGTCTTCCTCATGCCATCCCAAAAATATCTTCTGCGCAACGCTTGCAACGTCTCTTGTTCTCCCCTATGGTTGGTCTTGCCCTGGTGATGTGCCAGTGTTACTTCCTTTTGCTGCTCCTTGTCCATCAACGTTTCAACTAGGTATTTGCATTTAATGAACGACCTATCGACGCCTATTTTCTCTGCTCTCCAGAGTTTTTTGATCTTCTCCCAGACGGTCGCATTGCCCACATACAAATGGTAAATCTTTCCTGACTCTGAAGCGTCGTGCAAGGCTTTACAAATCTCTTCTTCTTTCACCCCTGGTTGGGACCAAATGGTGTTAATTTTCTTCTTGCCGTATTTACTGAAGTCGATCTTCATGAGCCCCGACGTTCTGGTCTTCCAAATGACCTGTCGTCGCTTGTCGTTGATGATCTCCTCACATTCTTCCATGTCTGTAGGCCTTTCGTCTACCGAGCTCTCTTCTCCTCTCGACTCCTCTGCTCCCACATCCCCGGGTTCCCCTTCCCCTTCCGGTGTCCACGTTCTCAAAAACTGCCGCACGTCCCTCGACGACTCCCCTTCTTCCTCCTCGATGGCATTTATCATGATGGCTCTGGACAGCCAGTCCGCTACCACATTTTCCTTACCCGGCTTGTACATGACCTCCATATTGTACTGGCTTAGAAATTGCTTCCACCGAGTGACCCTTGCTGACGATTCCTTCAGATTACCAACCCATTGCAGCGGTCTGTGATCGGTATGGACTTTAAATTTTCTGCCAAAAATATATGGCCTAAAATGCCCTACTGCCCATACTATCCCCAAGAGTTCCCTCTCCAGGGCGCTATACCGCGTTTCCGCGTCTGTAAGCCGCCGACTTGCATATGCTACCGGTTGTTCCCCATTACTTCCTTCTTGAGCAAGTACCGCCCCCAACGCATACTCACTCGCATCCGTAGTGATGACAAATGTCTTCGTAAAATCGGGAAAAGCGAGTACCGGCTTATCTTGTAACCTTGCCATGCACTTTCTTACATTGTCCTCTATTGCTGGCGTTATTGCTATCTTCCGGCCTTTCTTCAGAAGGTTATTAAGAGGTGCTAAATACTCCGCCATTTCCGGCACGAACCGACGGTAATAGTTTAGTGTTCCCAATAACCTGCGGATACCTTTTACATCCCTGGGCATCGCCATATTCTGTATTGCCTCGACCTTCTGTTTATCGGGCCTGATCCCCTCCTTCGAAATGGAATGTCCCAAAAAGGTTATCTGGTCCTGTCCCAAAATCGACTTTTCCACCGATAATTTCAACCCAAATTGCCGTAATCTGTCGAATACGCGCCCCAAATGATCAACGTGTTGCTCTTCATCCTTACTAAAGACCAAGAGATCGTCCATGTATACTTGACAGAATTCTTCATCCAATCCCCTCAAGAATTCGTCCATAAATCTCTGGAAAGTTATGGGAGCGTTCTTTAAACCAAATGGCATCCGAGTAAACTCGTAATGCCCCCTCTCGAAAGAAAACGCCGTTTTGTGTTGATCCCTGGGGTTCATACGAATTTGGTGGTAGCCCGCCTTTAAATCCAAAGTACTAAAAATGGTTGCCCCACTAAGCCTGTCAATAATATCATCAAATCGCGGGAGCGGGTACTTCTCGTCTAGGGTGTTGTCATTGAGCTTTCTGAAGTCTACCACTACTCTGTACTTCTGCTCTCCCGACGACGTCTTTTTCCTCACCGCCCACAGGGGACTATTGTACGGTGACGTGCTGTCGACGATGATGCCCTGCTTCTTCAAATTTTCTAGCTCCTCCTTGATATGGCGACGTAGAGCCTGTGGGTAACGTCGCTCCTTCACGTACGTCACCCTTTCCTGTTTTAACGGAATCTCATGTGCCGTCCTCCCCGTTGCGCTCAATACCTCCTCCTCTTTAAAAAAAATATCCGCATATTCCCTCTTGATCCTTTGTACCCAATGTTCCGCTTGTTCTATTGCCCCAATGTTCCCTCTTTCTCCCACTCTCCCCTTCTTACACCGGTACCTCTTCCCTCCCATTCGCACCCTCCAACCCGTTCCTCTGTAATCTATTCTTGGTCTCACTCTACTCAATAGGTCACATCCTATTATACCCCCGTATTCCCTCGGCATATTCTCTACTACATGAACCCTCAACTTCCCACTTCCTGTTACCCATTTGTCTAGATCCAATTCTACTTCCCCTTCTATCCTACATGGACCACCCAAAGTAATCAACCTACACGTACATTTTTTTATTCTTGGTATCCTCTCTCCTTTACACAACTCCTCCAACATCTGTCTAGATACTAATGTACTAGAACTTCCCGTG